CTTAATTAAAAAACAAACAAACTAAAACCACCTCACAAATGAGTTTTTCAGTAGTTCTGAGGATATCCTACAATAATTATCTTCATCACTGTTTCAGGAGGACACTTGGATGGATAAGACATCAAAAGAACTACACCTAGATGACAGCATCTGTTCATGCATCCTTGTTCCAGGTGAGTAAGACACCTCAGGTGGGAAGAAGGCATCATCAGAGTCCTGGTTCTTATTGCTAGACCCTGAGCTGCCTGTGAGTGCCATCCAACTGCAATATTCACACATGTGACAGGAAAGTATATGGGGGTCATGGACATGTAACTCTCAGTGAAATTTAAGGTGGTCATTTAGACTGTGTTAACATGGAGTTCCAAAGTACCTGAAATACTGATGAGTCTGATCAAGTGCTTACAGCACCCCTCAGCCACTGGGAACAGCAGTTCTCCTGTTTAGCTACTGGTAGAGGACTGAGGTTAAGCATCCTTTTTGTCATGTTAAGAAACAGAAATAATTCAAGAAGAGAGATTAAATAATCCATTTCACCTCTAGAGTCCGGCTGGTGTCAGGATTTCCCATTCTGGCTCTCTGGCTATAAACACAGGTGTTGCAGGGTGGGAGATGTCTGAGAGGCTTGCCTATTTCAGCAAGACACATGTGAAGAGAAAGACTCAATCGAGATGTGTTTTTCTTTAGACTTCCATCTGGAGCTATAATTTAAGCATGTTTTAAGTGGTGCCCTTCCCATTAGCTCTTCTAAAGCATAGCCTCATCGATCCTATTTCCAAAGCACACGTCTCTACGGTAAGGATTTATGTGACTGCCAAACCACAGGGCACCAGCAACCATTTTTATGGTCAGGAAGCTTCACCAGCTTGAGAGCACTGCATGAGTTAATTGCCCAAGAGCAGATATCCAAGTGGTCTGTGTTCTTCAAAGCTTACTCTTCCACATTTCTTTTTTTATACAGTTAAATATTGCAAACTGCATTTTAAGCCTAAACACAGTCTTTCATTCTTAACCTCTGTGTTTTTGCATTTTATTGAATTTTTGAAGATTGGATTAATTTTCAGCATTTAATTTGTTGCAGTGACTTTGGGCTGGCTGCCCAACTTAACCATGGCTGCTACTCTTGGATGATGGCCTGACCATTAATTATTTCCCTGCTGAAACTGCATTACCACAAAATAAATTTTGTTATAATGACATTAACTAAAGGCCACAGAAACCTGTCCAGCATTAGAAATTTCTTCTTGGAAGTTCTTTTATGCTTTTTCCTCACATTATCTAAATCCAGAATGAGATAGCATTTAATATTTTACCAGCTTATGAATAAACAGGACTTCTATTCTTCTTGATGTAAATATAACAACACCAGCACTGAAGTAATTATCAAATCACAAACATTATCATGAAATCTTTGTAAATTCAATCTCCCGAATAAGACAACACATTTAAGCACAAAAAGATTGAATCATGTCAGATTAAGTTAGTTACCATCTTTAGTTTACAGTGTATAACAGTTCTTACTTCATAAGACAAGCCTCAGTATGTAAAAAGGGTTAGATAAAATACTCATTACTCATTCTTAAAAATATGGAAATTTTTAGCTACAAAATTAAAAAGTGAACCATTAGGACTGTAATGAAAGACCTTGAGGTGAAAGGAAGAGCAAGAGGAAAACATGTATTATTAAAAATGAGCACCCCATAGGTTCACTGTTAGCACAACTGAAATGCCAACTATGTATTTTGGTTACTTGTATCAAAATCCTGCAATTATGCTAATATATGGTAACTCATTGCCCTTGAAAATACTGCTTTCCTCTAATAATTTAGGAAGGAGATCAATTATGAAGTCATGTGGTTTAGTCTTACTGTTGTTGATGTCACTCAGTTGCTGAAAAACAAAAATTATTAATTCCTTTCCACTTCTACCATTCCTAGTCTGCTCCATCAGAACAGCCCATTACCCTTTACATTATATTCGTGTGGAAAATAAACCACAATTTTTTTCCAGCAGAATACGTTTAAAGAAATATCTGCAGAGGTGATTTACCACTGAGAATGTAAACAGAGTTGGAGACATTCAGCTGCATTAATCCAATCCCATTTTAGCTAACACCAGCCTGATGTTCATTATCTCTCCAGAAGGCAACTCTTGCTCGCCAAATATATGCTTTTCGAGCTTCTAAGTATTTTCTCATGGTTTTCTGCTGCACATTTTCTTTTTAAAGAATAATTTCTTTTTTAGCTTCATCATTGGTTTGAAACATCTCACTGCAATTTAATTATGAAGAATAAAAGGAGTAGCAGAGTAATACATGTACAGCAAATGTATTTGGCTACTTTAGATTTTTTTTTCCTTAAATACAGACCAGTAAATTCAGTGGGTTTTATAGATTAGAACTCAAAAAGGCCATCATGATAGGTAATGCAATAAGTCTTACTTTTTGCATTCTTGTTTTAAATAGGGAATTTTATTTCCTGCTCCTGAACAATTTAGTTTACCATTGCCCAAGTGGGCTTGACTGGCAGTCTCAAATTTTAATTTCATTCCAGAGCAGAGAGACTGTTTTGCACACGATTTTGTGCAGCACATACAACTCAGCTGCCAGGTTTGAGACTTTTCAACCATAGAGAACAGCCTGGTATAAAACCTGCAGCCAGAGCTTTGTTGTGCTTGATGCTGTACACAGAGGGAAAGATCATAAACTTACAACATAAGTAAAGGGACCAAAGTTCAAAGTGTAGAATAGCAAGTAAGGAGTAAGGGAGAAAGGAAGGTATTCAATAGTCACACCAGCCACACTAATTCCCTTTCATCAGCTTGCATCATAAATCGAAAAATGTCCTGCAGAAGACTGTCACTAATACTTTTGTGATGTCCAAAGGAAAAATATTCATGAAATTATATCCTCAAAGCCCAACCCATCCCTCAAGGGGCTGTGCTTCTTACAAAATTACTGGTGAGAGAAGTGCCAATCTCCTTCATGTGCATAGCCCTGGGAAAGAATATATACTATTGTTTGGCCTTATAATGATATTGAAATACTCTAACTACCTGGAGTTATAAATGTTCCTATTTCAAGCAGCAAATTCTACTTTTTTCTTTAATTCAATGGAGATAAAAACATGGCTCTAACAGGGCAGAGAACACTGATGCTCCCAGCATAACAGCCATGTTCCCCAACTGATGCTCTCCACTGATGAGTTATCAAAACATTTTTACCTGGTTCCCATTATCACAGGCTTCTTTGGCCCCCTCCAAAATAACCATTACTGTCTATCTGATTCTAATTCTTTTTATAGGAGCTGTTTTTCTCTAAATTTTGTAGTGCTTTAGGATTAAAGTAGCAAGGAAATTTACAAGACCCTGTCTTGATCCTTTCATTCTAATTACATCAAGAGGGTAGCTACTGTGGAAAGAGCTAATGATCCATAATGATCCAATCAGCAAAAAACACACTACAAATTGGAATTCTAATATATAATCTCTAGATGCAGATTTATTATCTAATTGTACATTGAAGAAATAAAATATTTTATGAGATTGATTTTTCTGTTGCTGTAGTCTCTTGCAATGATCACTTTAACATTTAAGTTCCTAGTTGCCTTCCACGGAAAAGGTTTTGAATGAATGTTGCTTGGCAGTGGCCTTCCTTGACAAAGGCAGGAAGGTAGCAATGAGGGAAAGAGAGGATGCTACAAACAGGTGCAAAGGGACTGCAAGCCCCAGGATCCTCCTGGGGTCTCTCTGCATTCTTTCCTAATATGATGTTGTCAAGTTGCTTTCATGCAGTTCATGAGCTAATGCAATCTCTATGATATGTAATCCCAAGCAGTTCAGCAGAGGAGAAAACTGAAGTGGCAATAAACAATGAATCAAAAACCCCTTGCTGAAATGACAGTAAACAATAAATTAACAGCCTGCTAGGGCATCACTGAATCTGTGACTCCTGTGTCGTATGAATTCCTGCCCTAAAAATGAAACATCAGTCTGCTTCCATCTTCCTTTCAGGAAAGGGAATGAAATCTTGAAACCAGAGGACAAAGTCTAACAAACCCACAGGAAAGGAGATACGATGGAAAAAAAAATTGCAATGGAAAAAATCCGGAAAATTTGGAAATGAAATGACTACAATGAAATGGACTGAGATGACAGGAGGGGCAGTGCAATGGACCAAAACTTGCTAAAAATACTCCAGATAAACTGCTAAATCACAGAAGAAAGGTAAAGAGTGTAGAGAAGATGCTAAGGAAAAGAAATGCAAAAAAAAAATAAAGGGAAAATTCCAAAATCAAGTGAAAACACTAAAAGTGAATGGGACGACAAGAAGTGCAGGGAAATGCACCAAAGCTTGCCCCAGATAATCATCATTGAAAGAGCAAGATTTAATTCCCTTTCCTGAAAGGAAAAAAAAATATGTATATGTGTATATATATGTTACCTGTGGAACAAGAATCAAATCTACAAGTATTGGCCCCAGAATTTATTACAAGTTGCATCTGGAGGAAAGGGCTGTCTGTCAGGGATGCTTGGAAACACTTTTTAAGCTTGCAGTTTCAAATAAATGTCAGCAGGAATTTAAAACTTAAGCGAGTTGTATTCTCTACTTCTTATGCCATTCTCGTTCTCTCAGTGCCTGATTTTGAGGAGAACATGGTAGCAAAACCTCACCAATTTTACTTTAAACTCAGTCAAAAGGAGGTAACTCCTGGGCAGGCAGCTGTAGCCCAACAGCCAGACAGGAGCACTCACCTCCCTCTGCTTTCTGCACTGGGCTAGGAGAAGAAACACCTATTTTTGTCTTTGAGGGTACCAGAGGCGCCACATGATCCACACACCTTTGCTATGCTGTTTTTTGAGATTTCTTATCAAACTGACACAGCATACCAGACAAGACATGGGCTGTTACCATTAAAGTAATATACTTCTAGATAGAAATGCTGGTCATGACCCTTTTTGTTATTTGTGAAATTGAGAGACAAAGACACGACAAAATGGGCTGCTGGAATAGTAATTCTGTCTTTATTTAACAGAGAACTTTTCTCATCCATTTTCTAAACAGGCAGTGCTATTTCAAAAAATCAGAAATGAAGTCATGATCAAAACCACACACAGAATAACTTAAATAAATATTTTTCTTCTTAAGATGATTGAAGTATAGGATAAATAAAATGTATTATTTTGGACATTCTCCATAAACAGTTCATATGTAACAGTTTCTCCATTAAGTATTCAGAAAATCAATATTTAGCTCTTAAACTACTCTGTCACTGACTGCATCTTTAGAGGAACAAGTTGGCTGGAAAAAATGAAATTTCACTGAAGAATAAACCTATAGAAATCATGCTTCTTAATGTTTATGCATCCTTAATCTTCTCTTCTCTCTTGAACTCAACCTACAGCAAATTGGTTTTATCTGAGCGGGACTGGGAGCTGTTTGTGCTACTGCTTAGTTTAGCAAAGGGACCAAGCATCAATAGAAAACATTAGGAATCATCCACAAAGCTAACACTGAGGCTAAGCTCCTGACAAACCATCCTCTGCCGAGTTGCTCTCTGCTCTTATGAGGAATGTATTCATTCAGCCCAGAGACAGCCCAGCATTAGCTTCAATCAGCTAAACCTAACACACACTCACCGCTTGCACAAGGAGAGGCTTTTGCTGTATTGAAGATACTAAACTGGGTCAACAGTCCAGAGGCTGTGGTGCCAGTCATGCACATTGCTTATCACACAATTCCTTTAGGTCCTGTCTTAACCTTCTGTCTTACTATTCAGACTGACCTAAGGGAGCCCCTGTACAACAGTGCATGGACCAGAGCAGCAAAACACAGCTTCAACTCAGAGAACTCACTGCCTAGGATAGTGTAACAGTGGTCCTGCCCCACAACAAAGCAAGGCTGCCACAGCTGGAGCTGTGTCCTCTCTTCATATCACAGCCCAGCACAACCCCAATGTCATAAAATAATACAGCTGGAGCTCATATTATTTAACATTAACTAGATGGACAAAGAGCAAATCTTAGTTCACTGCATTAGGTATTAATTTTATGTTTTTAAACACTGAGTTGAAGAATCAGTTTCCTTCTGGTCTTTCTCATCAATACAACTTGACTACAGAATTACTACAAAACACTGAAACAATCTAATGTCCGCTTAAAATAACTGAGTAGCGTTGGTGAAGATCTCCTCCATCCTAACCTGAACTTTAATCCAGTCAATCTTTGTATTTTTTTCTTGTCGCTGAAATATTGCCAACTCTATTTAATCTCACATCTTATTTAGTGTCTACCCTAAAACCTCAGTTCCTGTAGGCAAGTAGTTAAAAGGAAAATCTGGTTTCACTTTGCTGAGTTTCTAGGTCTCAAAATTGCTCCAAAAGGCTTGAAAACAGGAATCATGTCATGTTTAAAGAAAGCAAATAAAAAACACTCTAAGGCACTTTTAAAACAAAATTCTCATCACTTTTACAAGAAGTTCATAATCTGAAGAGGTGAGGTGGGTGCCTGAGTCACAGAAATTTTTAACTCCTTGGGGTTGAAATGTAAGGATTCCTCTTCACCCTCCTTTCCCTCTTCTGCTTTTCTATTCTTGTATTTGGCACGAGGAACGAAGATGCCCAAACTTCTGGTAGAAATCATCTTCAGCACGATTCAGAGCTTCCTCGTCTATGTAGACAGCTGGTCTGCGGGCAGCCAAGAAGTACTGCACTTTGCGCAGGCTCCATCCCAGCACGTACTTCAGCCAGCCACTCACTGCGGCTGTGGACCTGCCCACGCCAGCATTGCAGTGAACATACACAGTGTGTCCATTCTGCAGCAGCCCGTGCAGGAGGCAGACAGCCTGTGGCAACATCTGTATTCTTCCTAAGGTTAAAAACAAGGCACGTTCATTTCCGCTGGACAAAGTTAGTTCATGGCTGCAATCCTGCCTGTACAGACTGATGAATTGTGAAATATAATGGCAAACCTGACATATTCCACGTTTTTCTTTCTTTTTTCAAACGACCTTCTAGGCTAACTTGTTTTTTTTCTAGTAATATAGAATCAGATTACACAAAACTGTAAAATGCCCCAAGTCTTCTCTAAATATACATTCTTATAACATCAGATGTGTGTGGCATGTTCATTTTCAAAGGAACTGAGACAACTCAGCACATTAAAGAGAACAGCACAAAGTGTTAAAGTTAGCAGCCAAAAATTATTTTTTTTTAAATATCAGAGGTTTGTGAAGGAATTTACATACTGCTGATTTCCAAAACATTGTAATGAAGGCCATCAATTCAGTAAGTGAGAGAGGAAGAGCAGAAGAACATTTTATTGTACACCTTAAAACTGTTATGATTTCATAGTGTACAAAGCATACAGGTAAACAACACAGAATAGCCTTTCTCACTCCCAAAAGGATGAATATATCATATTTTCTGACACTTTTCTTCTGGCTATCTTGGGAACCAGAGCTGCAAACAGCAGAGCCCAGGTCTTCCTCATGGCACATATAAACACTGACATTAAGCCCTTTGAAATCCCTGTTTTGAGGTCTCCTGTATTCCCTGATGTCCTATTGCTGATATGGCAGTTATCTATTTGGGGTAGTGGTATTTCACTGCATTGAAAACACTCTCTTCTGCTGGCAGGCTGCTCAGTTCAAAATACACTCCGTTTCTAACCTTCTGGCTGGAAACAAGACTTTGAACTGAGCATTCCAACCAAGGACTTAAAATACTAGTAATTGATGTTACAGTTCAGGTGCTGTGAATATTTTCAATTAATTGCAAACTATTATATAAATGTCTCTATGGAGTCTCTGTATCATCAGGCTGGGATATTACAGTAAAGAAATAAAATAAATAAAAATTTAAAGAAATAGTGTTTGCTGGGAAGGCAACAGCAGACACATAGCAGTGTCTCTCCATTTTTAATCAGCAAAGGTAGCAAGTTGTCCTGCTCTGCAAACTTGCAGTCTTCCACCTACACAGCATATTTTCATTATATAGGCTGAACTCAAGCTGAAAGTAAAAATAGTCAAGCAGTTATTGATGTCAGATGGCTTTAAACTCTAATACACATAATATTGCCAGATACAAAGTACTTCAGATGGCCTCTCTGCCTACAAGAAAATATGAATAATTTGTTAAAGACAGCACACAAAGAAACTATACCTTGTGTGCCAACTATATTTTCATGCAAAATGTACACAGAATTCCTCCTCCCTCACCAACTGTCATGAAAGTGACATATTAGTAACTCCAAGTGTTTGTTGCTATTAATTTACTGCAAGAGTGGCATAAGCATTACCTTCAGTGCTCATGTCTGCAGTTGGCAGCCAGACATAGGCAAGACCCTCTTCCTTATACAGTTTCATGAGGATTTCGGGGCTCATGGGTTCTGGGTAGCGGTTGCAACCCCAGGAATTTTGAACAATGTCAGATTCAGTCTGGAAGTTCATCACAGCTGTAACACCCAGCTCATGCTTCAGCTTGATTGTCACGTGCTCCACCTGCCGAGGGCAACTTCCCAGCCAGATGTTTGGCAGAATCCTAGCATTGAGAAAACATTGCAGTGGGATTGATTAAAATATCTTAAGGAGACTGCCAAGTTCATCAGTGTTCCAGTTCCAAACCTGCTGGACATCATCACACAAACACTGCTAAGCACAGACTTTTCATGTCAGGCAGTAACAAACTTCTTGTTTCATTACAACTTATTTTGTTACAGTTGAATTGGTGATGTCTGATGCTGGGGATCAAGCTCTTTACTACCACAAAGAGCCAGATGAACTGAGAAAAAACTTCAGAGCATAATTATAGCACAGGTCTCCAAGGCACCATTCACCGCCAAGCTTGCAGTAGAAGCTTACTAACATCAGGGATTAGAATAAGAAAACTGAAAACTTCAGAGTTTCTTCACTGTGAAGTGTGCAATTTGCACACACCCACACATCCCTACACACACAACCAGTACAAAAAAAAAAAAAAGAAAAAAAGAGAGAAATAAAACCAACCAACCAAAAAAAAACCCTAAAGAATTCACATGATCCAGAACTGCATTACTTTAGTAATAAGTCAAACATAAAGAAGTCTTCCAACTCTTTAGCTGCCACTATAATGAGGGAAGTAGGAAAAAAAGCATTTTGAACTACCCTTCTGTGATGCAACTTAAAAATTAATGAGTAATTTTCTTCTAATTTTTCTCTGATCTCTTTGAGTCTAGCGGGAATCAAATACAGAATTACAATACATGTTAGCTTCCCTCAAGGCCTCAAGGGCCAGAAATTTTTCAGGAAAACAAGAGGTTTATGTAGGATGGGAAAGTACCAGAAATATGGTTGTTCATCTAAATCAAACTTCAAGACTTCTATGGTTTTCCCATTGCTAATTATCATAAAACTATTGTATACTTCAACAGATGTTGACATTATAAACTGAGTATTAAGAACTAGTTTCAAATGAGAGGTTTTAATATGCACACGCAATTAAAATGATGGCATCTACAATGGATTATTCAGATGCTCAAATTATTAGTGATCTCCTTTAATTTCTTGATGCTTCCATTAACTTAAATTTTGAATGGGCAATCCACAAACTAAACAAAATATCCCTGCATTTAATATAAACTTTGCAAATCTTATTAACTGCAAAAAATTTGTAACACTATTAACTGCAAACTTAGCAAACACTATTAAATGTAAATCTACAACAAAAGCAAGATCCTCAAAAATAAAATGTCTGCCATGAACGTCCTATGATCTTTTCCAGTTTAAACCTCAGCAACAAATAAGCTTCATGTTTTTTCAGGAGTCTATAAACCACTCTTAAATCATCAGGTAGCTATTTCCATTTTACTGTCACAATAATAAGTATTAAGTAATAAGCATTTAATTAAGACCTGAAATTGACTGTAATTATTAAATCCTGCTATAATAGTACTGCAATATTATCAAAAAAAGAAATTCAGATCCAGAAAGCACTTATTATTATTTTTTCCTGTTCGTAAGCTGCATCCATGGTGAGTTGCATACACAAACACAGCCTTGGCCTTAACAGCCCCTGTTTCAATGGGACAAAACACTTAATCTCAATATATGGTAACTGAGACCAATTTAAACAAATATATTACATCACAAATAACCATTTCAACCATATTCCAACAGTGAGATAACTTGAAAAGATTTGACTTAGTTGTTGTTTCACATACATGGTCAAGAATTGCCCCAAATCCAAAATAACCAGCTCAAGCATTCTCACTGATCAGAGGGAAGGGCAAAGGTGCACTGCAACAACTGCTTCATTGCCGCCCTTCCCAAGTACCAGCCCCACAGCAGCCCCCATCCTAGCCTGAGCAAGTGACTGCTGTCAGGATTCTGCCACAGGAACCTGCCACAATGATTAGAGCATTTCAGGGTGCTGAATGTAAGCTACAGTGCTCTAACAGATGCTGACAAATGGCTGGAGAGGAGCAACGCTCACAAAACTCCATTCCCAGGACAGAGAAATGGCAATATCACTAAAACCTTGTGACAATATGAGGATATTATTTCAAGAAGAACATTATTACCCTCCCTTGAAAGGCTTTCCTGGTGACTCATACATATGTAATTCACTTGATACTTTGTGAAACATCTAATGCACTAAATTACCTTGAAGGGAGAAGAAAATATGTGTTTTCTAGGATTTGATTGAATTAAAAGTGAATAAAGCATTCCTGAGATAAATAAAATTCTAGGCAGTACTCTTGCTTACTGATAAACAAATGCTTTATAATTTTTTCCTCCAATGATTTTTTAATGGGTGAACATCACAGCTCTGCTACCTGCAAGGCCCCTGGCATATAGACCATTTGTTTATTTTGTTCTTGCATCGTAGCAGGTCTTGTATATGACAAGACGTTTGTATTGCACAACACCAATTGCTTTTACTGAACAATCTGAAGAGTTTACCAAATTTTTATCACTTTCTTTCCCCATAATTAATTAAACTAATGGAGGCATACAGAGAATGACCTAAGAGATGTATTTAGGACAGGCAATTCTTGTGAATTAATTTTATGATCAGGTCCAAAGTTTAACCTTTGAGAGGATCAAGATGTAGCCTTGACCTTGGTCTACAAGCCCCTTATTTGCAATTCTTGGTCTTCCTGGCCAGGGCTTAACCACTCTTTTAGCATGCAGAAAACAGTACTGCAGAGCTGTCCTATCAGCCAATTTATGTAAAAGTTCTAGGATAATCCTACTGCATAGTACCTATATTTCTATTTGGCTTTATCCAGTTAAAACTTTACCTTCTGACATCAGAAGGAAGGAATAAAAGGGGTTAGTGCATGTGTGAGTACAGAGACTAATGGAGAGTTCAGCAGCTAGATTTTATATATTGATTTTTTTGATAGCCCTACTGAGGGCTTCATTATGCTGAGGATCAGGAAAACATACATATTGTACCAAGCAAGAATGTAGTAATTTCATTTTTTACATCTCTTTCTTTAATGATATAACTTTTAGTTTTCCTTTTCCATGTGGTCCTTCTTTAAGTTGCCACTGAACTTCAGTAGGTAGCCAGATTTTAGCCACAAGACTATTTGGCATGGAAAAGAGAGCTCTTTTACATTCCCCTCTAAATTGTCAAGTTATAGTGCTCTGAGCTCTCTGACAGCCACTGCTCTCCAGCTCACATGTGGGTGTATTCCAGCAGCAGATTATGTGATCCCTAACCACATCGAAAAACATTATGAAGTTATTAGTGATCAATAGACCCTTAATCTTTTCAGCCGAACCTCTTTGATGTTCCCAAAATATCAAAACAGGATGGTGTTTTAGCAAAATACTACTTGACTTTTTGCTTTAATATAAAAATGACACTTTTTAATTGTACATCTTTACTCTCTGCATCAAGGATAATAAACCATGTTTGGCTCCAGAAGACATGGTCAATTCAGTCAGAGACAGTTTATCAATGAAGAAATCACCTAGAGTGATTTAAACATCAATGATATTTTGCAATCTTCTGAGATTAAGACTTGTAGATTGTCTATAAACCCTTTCTTTATAGATACTTTCTGTCAGCTACTTTCAGCTTTCCCTACACTTCAGTTCTCCACCAGTGATATGGATACAATATTTACCTACCTTTTAGGGGTCCAACGGATGAATTAATGGGAGAAGCTTGAGGCTGTGGTAACAAGGACTAAATATTAGGCAAATGTTATTCCGTTTATTTTTACAGAGCCCAGACCGAAGGCTGACATATTTAAAACCTGCTTTTTGACTTATAAACTGAGAAAACCAACAATTATTTATCATTACCACAGAGTAAATATGGAACACCCTGCAAACACTTGTACGCTTCCAGCACACTTAAATTATTTTTAATGATCTAGACATATATTGTGTTTGTTGGCTTCCCCCCAGGACTCTGCACAGTCTAGATTAAAATATAACATTCAGAGTGAATGCATCTAAAATAGGAAATGCATTCCATTTAATCAATGCATATGCAAATGGTCTTCCCATCCCTAAGGAGAAAATGAGTCTGAGGCAATGAAAAATTAGCACTGTGAAACTTTAATGCTGCAGACTGATTTTCAGGCTGGTTCACAAAGCATGACACACGATACCTCTCAATCTTAGTACAGTACAAAATCAGGCCAGCAACTGCAACTGTAGGGATTTGATTCCCAGGGAAGGTGACCTGATCTAGGGGAAGACACCAGGTTACTGCATCAGGCAGTCAGTTCCTCCTTCATGACACCAATGTCTACTCTGCTTCTTCAGCAGCTCCTTTTTTACTTTTTCTAATACTGCTTTGAGACAAACAGATCCTAAAATGCTGAGCTACAAGCTGGGATAACTCAGGTGCTGCTCCCAGATCTGAGCAATCATCAGTGTTCTAGGAGGAGGCATCTTAGAATCTACCCTAAAATCAATCAAACCTCTAAGGATCACAGTTCTTATAGAAAAGAATAGGATTTGGCACTTTAGGGACATATTTCATCAGAATATCTATCAGGTACTGACAGATGTCCTTTTATCCTGATAGTTGCCAGCTTTAATCAAAAGAGAGGACTTTGCCAACCTAAGGAAAAATAGAAGGGTGTTTGTCATTGGTTATTGGCAACAGTGATCCATCAACTATGCCATGTGTTTATATCAGTGATATTTTTGACCAAGGTTCAGTCTATTATTTTAAATGAAAAGTGATGGATTGAATCATCCCTCAGTACCAGGTCAAGGTGTAGCCTGTGTTAAAGCTTGGACTCCACTTTTCTACTTCCTTAGATACCATTAAGCATCTGAGGACAGTGACATAAGTACCAATATATACATATAAAAAACTAGAACAATTTAACTGAAACAGCAAACAAAATATTGATTAAATTGACTCTGTCCTCCCTCAAGTCTCTTATTTCCTAAAGGTTTAGTATGCAACCACAGCTACATGAAACTTGCAGTAAAACCTACTTTGCATTCCCAGAAGAGCAACATATATAATTCAGTCAATTTACCTTCAGCATTTTGTGTTGCTTCTAGGCATACAGAGTGGTTTTT